GTTGCAAACCCATAAATATTTTTTAAATTCCCTGGAAAGTTGTTTGGTATGAAAGGAAAGACTCTGAGGCTGTGATCGTTCTGCCCTGTGCCTTGTCCTTGGAGGCTAGGCTGTCCTTCCAAGAGGGGTGGCACAGTAGGTCAGCTGTGTGTTGAACCTGGTAGTCACTGCAGTTTCGGGTTTAGTGGAGAGATGCAAAAAAGTCAGAGAATCAAAAATCTTAGAGGTAGAAGAACCATGCCCATTTTACAGGTGAAGAAACAAAGGCTGAGAGGATTATAGTGACCTGCCTGAGGTCACAAATTACTACTTTGTGGACTCTAAATGAGAGCAATGATCTCTAGGTTCTCAAAGTGGCTGGAGTCAGACAGCTCTAATCTGAAGGATTCCTGGGAAGACTTGTTCAGTATTAGGGCAGAAACAGGGTGATGCTGGGTGGCTGTAAGAGAAGGGATAGGTGAAGGACTGGAGTCTGCTTTAGAACTGTCTATGAGGGGTCCTGGCATCTTCAATGGCCTTTCCTTTTCCTGAATTTGATTCTAAACTATGGCTTGGTTTCAAAATGACCTGGTCTTCCAAGAGTCTATATGTATCATCTGTCTAGGCCTCCTGGACTACGAGGTTCAGGACGCACCTCTTAGGCACTCTGGCCTTCTTCCTTAAGGGGTCAGACAGAACTCCAGGGCGAGGAGTGAAGGGCAGAAAGGTGGTCTATGTAGCATGGTGAAATTTCACAGACTCTCTGGCCAGCTCTGGAGAAAAACATGTTGGACTTCAGAGTCTTGCATTTAAACCCAAGTTTCTGTTCTTTCCAGGGCATCAAGGGTCCCAAAGGTTTGGTAGATATGACGGTAGGTGAAGCTTTTAATTCCATACTTTATTATTTTCAGAACATAGAGTTTTCAACTTTCACAGAATAGAAATCTTTTTTGTAGAGATTCTTTAGTTTTTCCTCTTACAATTCTGTTAGTGCTATAAGTCTATAGGCTTTACTTTGAAATGTTTTAACCAAGTCAAATAAAAATGTTTTAATATTTTAAATCCAGCAGGGAGTCTAGATGTTTCTGAGTAACACTAGCTGACATGAAAAAAAGAAAAAGACTTTGAGGCTACTACCTTTCTGTAAGGTGTCTTTTTGTAAAGCTCAAAAAATGTTTTTAAAGCATTTCTAAACCAACACACAGATAGTACAGGTTTTTGTGTCTCATGGCATACTTCAAAATAATCTCCAGTTATGATGGCTTTTCATCTTCCAAGTACAAAAATATTGACACTATTAGGCAGGGGGCGGGGAAGGTGAAAACAACTGAAGAGCAGGGAGTGATGGGGTCTGGGGTCAAGGGAAGAAGAGAGCAGAGAGGAAGGGATCAGAACAAAGAAGCAGAATTACTAGGGGAGGTGTTGGGGGTTCCTATTTTGGGAGCCTTTCTGAAGAAGTGTTACAGGAATTGCAAATAGAGAGGTCAGAGAATTTAAAGAATTTCCTTGTGTTCTCTGCTGACATTTCTGTATTTCAACTTCTTCAAAACCAGGTTTGATTCCATTGCTTTCTGAGGCAGATTAAAAAAATGGATACCCCTTATCTATAGATCTTTAATAATATGGGCACTGTATTGTATATAAAATCTTTTAAATGCTTTAAAATATTCACTGGATTCAGAAATACGATTGTTGGATAGTTTCATCTGCTCTGACATGTTTTGGGTTTTCTGTTGTAGATTAAAAACTTCAGATAGGCACTGGTAACATTCATATGACATTTCCAAGTCACAAAGGTGAAGAAAAATATGCTTCAAGTTAAATACTTTTTCCTTTTCCCTGTCTTTTTCCATCTTTCTAACAGCCTTGCGAAATTGTTAATTTCACACGAGAACACTGCTGTAAGTTGTTTGGGAAAGCTCAGAAGGAGCTAGGGGTATGGAGTGGGGATGGATCATGGACTGGGGCATAATTCACCTGAGGATTTGACTGAGGTTTGGGAGGTGCCTTGTCCATTGTGAAAGGCTCTTGTAAATGAATGCGATGGGCTCAGTCCCTTCCTAGGTAAGTAATCTTTCCCAGGGTGTCCTCAGAAATGAAGCGGTTTGAAAGGTGTGCCATCTCAATGATGAAGAAAAATTCCACCGAACAGTGTTGTGTCCCATGAAGTGTAACGATCATTGCACACCTGCGTGTCTGAATCGTGCTGCTTCCTAACACAAAAGAAATAGGACCTTTGTTCTTTTTATATCATACATTTAAACAAGAGGGACCAAGGTGATCCTTCAAACACAATTCACTATTGCAAGGATGTGGAAACAACCCAAGTGCCCATCAATTCATGAGTGAGTTAATAAAATTTGGTATATGTATACAATGGAATATGACTCAATTATAAGAAACGACTGTGATCTAGCACCTCTTATATTTTCCTGGATGGAGCTTGAGCCAATCCTCCAAAGCGAGGTATCACCAGAATGGAAAAATAGGCTCCACATGTACTCGCCAGCAAATTGGCACTGACTGATCAACACTATGGTGCTCACACGCTAGTAATATTCTCCAGGGATTAGGGGGTTAGGGGTGGGTAAACTCACAACTAATGGACATGGTGAGCATTGTAGAGGGAAAAAGGCAA